GGGGGGAGGGGGGGCCGATCCCAGCCAGACGCGGCTCCAAACTGTTGCATCCGCGCGGATCTCCGCTCCGCCTGCCCGGATGGATTTGCTTCCCGCGACATCGCCGCTCCTGCTGCCCGCGGGCCGGTTCCTCCCGGCCCCCGCCTGCTGCTTGCCAGGGGCCGCCCAGCAGTGAGGCAGAGAGAGAAGGATTTTTTTTTTAAATTTTTTCTTTTCTTTTCTTTTTTTTTTTTAAGCAGCCAACCTCGCAGGATCCCCTCCTTGCCTCGGTGGCGGACTCCAGTTTAGAGGAGGGGGACCAAAAAAAAAAAAAAAAATCAACCCCCCTCACAAAAAAAAAAACAAACCCAAAAATATCCCCCACCCCCCAGTGCAGGACTGAGAGCTGGGAGCAGTGACTGGAAGCCTGTGATTCTTTTTTGTTGTTCTTGTTGTTGTTGTTTCTTTCAGTGGGAGAGATCTTGGGTGTTTCACACATAGCACTGAAAGGGGGTTAAAAAAAAAAAACACTCAGCAAAGCAGGAGCCCGACGTGGATAACAGCCTTGTTTTCCTGATCCTCAGTCTCCCGGACATGCATCTGATTTTTTTTTCTGTCTAGAGAGTGAGTCAGAGAAGCGTTAGGAAGAAGCTGCAACTAATGTCTGTGAAGGGAGGAACATGAGGCGATAGTGGCTGTGATTTGTTCCGCTGGATCTGACTCATCCAGCAGATTGAAACACCTTGCATTTCTGGATGTGTCATTCATTTATTTCTGGCTGTTAAAAAGACCTGAAATAAATTTTAAAAAAATTAACACCCCCCTTCTCATCCCCTCCCCTCCATATTTACCTCTACATAATACCACTGGGGAAGGAAAACCAGGCATCAGGCTCTTCCCACCCCTCTCCCCAGCACCACGTCTCGTACCAAGATACCCAGAGAGACTATTCAAGACTGCAAAATGCAGCACACCAAACACTGAATTGAAATGGGGGGGGGGCGGGGAGACTTAGCCGATGATCACATTTGTCACTTTATTTAGAGCCCAAATTGCTTCCCCCATCCCCTTTTCCTCCTCCTTTTCCCCCACTAAATGAAGAGGACTAGGAGGCAGTGTCATTGGAAGGAGATGCTGAATAGAAAGAAAAGAGAGACACTTAGCGCAGCCCTGTGAATGCAGAGCCTGTTTCCCTTTTAGCAAAAGGTATTGAGCGTGTGTGTGTGTGTGTGTGTATGTGTGTGTGTGTGCGCGCTAGGGGCTTTGTCGTGCCCACCCACCCCCCCTTTCCCCTCTTTTTTTTTTTCTCCCCCCCCCCCCCCCCCTTTCCCCTCTTTTTTTTTTTTTAATTATTACTAGTAGTAGTATGATGATTTCCAAATCTCTGCATCCAGCCGTGGGTTGCCTGTTGATCTCCCCTCGCCTGGAGAGCCAAGCAAAGTGGAATTAAACTGCAGCAGAGAAAAGTGCAAGCTCCTCCGCCACACACAGCACAAGGAGGGAGAGAGCTAGACACACAGGATGTGGTGGTGGCAGCTCCCCAAGTGTGCATTTGATTGAGCCCAGCCAGAGAGATCTACCTATATATTTTAAATCCGGCTCCTGATGATGAGCATCAGCTGGTGGTTTTTTTTAATCCCCCCTACCGCCCCCTCTCAAGGAAGCTAGCACTACAAATCCGGACACTAGTGGTGGTGATGGTGTGTGTGTGTGTGCGTGTCTGTATTTTTTACTCTGCGATTCCTCCTCCTCCTCTGCTTCTCCAAGGGAAGAGCGAGAGGGGAACCACCGATGGCAGCGAGATGCAGCTCTCCGCCGCAAGCCAGGCAAGATTAGATCTCTAACTGCAGCAAAACACTCCCTGGGAAAAAAAAAAAACACACCCAACCGCTCCGCGGTGCAATCAGACATTTCCTTGCCTCTCGCTGCACGCCAAGAGAGGGCTTCAGCCTAGCCCAGACTTCTCCCCCTCCACCTCTTCTCCCTACTCCAGCGATCGCATCACAAGCGACGAGTAGCCCCTAAGCTCCCCCCTACACCAAAAAAGCCACCTCGAAATATTTTTTTCCCTTCTAGATTTTTTTTTCTAATTTTAATTTTTTAGATGTTTTTTCTCTAAATTTTTTTTTTTTATTTTAATTTTTTTGATTTTTTTTTCCTTTTTCTCCCCCCCCCCCCCTTTGGACTGATCTGGAGGGAAAACGCCACTCACCGCTGCTGATTTCTTCTCCTTCGATCTCCGTCGATCTGTGGACCTTGAGAGGGGCTGGGGCAAAGCCACACTGGACATTTTGATCCGCCCAGAGGAGATTTTTGGACCTTGAGAGGGGCTGGGGCAAAGCCGAGGGGACGTTTTGATCCGTCCAGGGGGAGATCTGCGGATCTCGAGAGGGGCTGGGGCAAAGCTACATTGGACATTTTGATCCGTCCAGGGGGAGATCTGCGGACCTTAAGAGGGGCTGGGACGGCTACATTGGACATTTTGATCCGTCCAGAGGGAGACTTGCGGACCTGGAGAGGAGCTGGGGCAAAGCCTCCTTGGATATTTTGATTCCTCCAGAGGAGACCTTGAGAGGGGGGGAGCCACATGGACACTTTGATCCGTCCAGAGGTCTACGGATCTTGAGAGGAGCAAAGGCAGGGGGGGACGTTTTGATCCATCCGGAGGCGATCTGGAGTTGTTGCCCCCCCACCCAGCTGAAGTTGCTCAGCTGAAGTAACCGGGCATTGGAGCCCCAGAGGCGCTTGATGCTGGAGCTGCCGGGTGGTTTCTCCCCCCTCCTCCTCCTCCGCCTCCATCTCTCTCCCTACCCGTGAGCTCCGGGCTCCATCGCCTGCGTGTCTGCGGATGCTTTAGAGCAACAGGTCCGGCGGCGGCGGGGAGGGAGGGGCGGGC